AGTAGCATGCAGCTAGTACGTTTTCGTGTGTGTGAGTAAATGGAAATTAAAGTGTGGAGTTCCATATTAAACACACCGCCTCCGACTCCCATTCATCGGCTCGACAACAATAACAAAATCACCAAAGTTATTGAAAAAAAGCATCTTTCTCCAAACTTCTTGGTGTAGTATTTAGCGACGGCTAATGTGGAGGGATTTTTGGTTTGTATACACCGTACAGTTATTTTTTGTAGTATAATCCTTCGGCTTTGAAATGTGTATTTGTGTTGATGGCCCCTGAGCGCCAGTCTCTCCTCCGGCCGCAGATTGAAGCCAGGGCCTCGCATGGAGGACGGCGCGCATCAGAGTGCTTTGATTAAAACTGCTCTGTAGCTCGTTGTCTCCCTCAATCTGTCAATGTCTTTCTAACTTTACCAAACAGAGATCTCGGCTCTGTTATGGATACATTATACTTTATATCACAAAAATACCCAACAACATTAAACCGGCTTAGAGGTATAAAGTAACTAAGTACATCTACTCAAGTACTTAAAAGTCACCTATTCTGTAAAATCCACTTCTTCAAGTCTCTTCTACATCAACATGTGTCCCCTCTTCTTCATGTCTCTTCTTCATCAATATGTGTCCCCTCTTCTTCATGTCTCTTCTTCATCAACATGTGTCCCCTCTTCTTCATGTCTCTTCTTCATCAACATGTGTCCTCTCTTCTTCATGTCTCTTCTTCATCAACATGTGTCCCCTCTTCTTCATGTCTCTTCTACATCAACATGTGTCCCCTCTTCTTCATGTCTCTTCTACATCAACATGTGTCCCCTCTTCTTCATGTCTCTTCTTCATCAACATGTGTCCCCTCTTCTTCATGTCTCTTCTTCATCAACATGTGTCCTCTCTTCTTCATGTCTCTTCTTCATCAACATGTGTCCCCTCTTCTTCATGTCTCTTCTACATCAACATGTGTCCCCTCTTCTTCATGTCTCTTCTACATCAACATGTGTCCCCTCTTCTTCATGTCTCTTCTTCATCAACATGTGTCCCCTCTTCTTCATGTCTCTTCTACATCAACATGTGTCCCCTCTTCTTCATGTCTCTTCTACATCAACATGTGTCCCCTCTTCTTCATGTCTCTTCTACATCAACATGTGTCCCCTCTTCTTCATGTCTCTTCTTCATCAACATGTGTCCCCTCTTCTTCATGTCTCTTCTTCATCAACATGTGTCCCCTCTTCTTCATGTCTCTTCTACATCACCATGTGTCCCCTCTTCTTCATGTCTCTTCTACATCAACATGTGTCCCCTCTTCTTCATGTCTCTTCTTCATCAACATGTGTCCCCTCTTCTTCATGTCTCTTCTTCATCAACATGTGTCCCCTCTTCTTCATGTCTCTTCTTCATCAACATGTGTCCCCTCTTCTTCATGTCTCTTCTACATCAACATGTGTCCCCTCTTCTTCATGTCTCTTCTACATCAACATGTGTCCCCTCTTCTTCATGTCTCTTCTACATCAACATGTGTCCCCTCTTCTTCATGTCTCTTCTACATCAACATGTGTCCGCTCTTCTTCATGTCTCTTCTACATCAACACGTGTCCCCTCTTCTTCATGTCTCTTCTTCATCAACACGTGTCCCCTCTTCTTCATGTCTCTTCTACATCAACATGTGTCCCCTCTTCTTCATGTCTCTTCTTCATCAACACGTGTCCCCTCTTCTTCATGTCTCTTCTACATCAACATGTGTCCCCTCTTCTTCATGTCTCTTCTTCATCAACATGTGTCCCCTCTTCTTCATGTCTCTTCTACATCAACATGTGTCCCCTCTTCTTCATGTCTCTTCTACATCAACATGTGTCCCCTCTTCTTCATGTCTCTTCTACATCAACATGTGTCCCCTCTTCTTCATGTCTCTTCTACATCAACATGTGTCCGCTCTTCTTCATGTCTCTTCTACATCAACACGTGTCCCCTCTTCTTCATCAACACGTGTCCCCTCTTCTTCATGTCTCTTCTACATCAACATGTGTCCCCTCTTCTTCATGTCTCTTCTTCATCAACACGTGTCCCCTCTTCTTCATGTCTCTTTTTCATCAACACGTGTCCCCTCTTCTTCATGTCTCTTCTACATCAACATGTGTCCCCTCTTCTTCATGTCTCTTCTACATCAACATGTGTCCGCTCTTCTTCATGTCTCTTCTACATCAACACGTGTCCCCTCTTCTTCATCAACACGTGTCCCCTCTTCTTCATGTCTCTTCTACATCAACATGTGTCCCCTCTTCTTCATGTCTCTTCTTCATCAACACGTGTCCCCTCTTCTTCATGTCTCTTTTTCATCAACACGTGTCCCCTCTTCTTCATGTCTCTTCTACATCAACATGTGTCCGCTCTTCTTCATGTCTCTTCTACATCAACACGTGTCCCCTCTTCTTCATCAACACGTGTCCCCTCTTCTTCATGTCTCTTCTACATCAACATGTGTCCCCTCTTCTTCATGTCTCTTCTTCATCAACACGTGTCCCCTCTTCTTCATGTCTCTTTTTCATCAACACGTGTCCCCTCTTCTTCATGTCTCTTCTACATCAACATGTGTCCCCTCTTCTTCATGTCTCTTCTTCATCAACACGTGTCCCCTCTTCTTCATGTCTCTTTTTCATCAACACGTGTCCCCTCTTCTTCATGTCTCTTCTACATCAACACGTGTCCCCTCTTCTTCATGTCTCTTCTACATCAACATGTGTCCCCTCTTCTTCATGTCTCTTCTACATCAACACGTGTCCCCTCTTCTTCATGTCTCTTCTACATCAACATGTGTCCCCTCTTCTTCATGTCTCTTTTTCATCAACACGTGTCCCCTCTTCTTCATGTCTCTTCTACATCAACACGTGTCCCCTCTTCTTCATGTCTCTTCTACATCAACACGTGTCCCCTCTTCTTCATGTCTCTTCTACATCAACATGTGTCCCCTCTGTGTGAAGAGACTCTCTCTTTTTGTCCTGATCCATTTATAGAAAAACCTGTCTGAAAATGAGCTGATCAGATGTTGGCAACTTTATGATGTCATATATTTTTTGTCTTGTGTAACCATTAGCCAATCAGCAACCAAGGTAACCCCCCCCCCCCCCCCCCCCCCCCCCCCCCCCTTTATCACCTGAATCTCCTCCTAGAGCCCCATTGAGTTCTTTGTAACCAAATGTCTCTCAGAGGGGCGTGGGGAGGGGCTCCTTATTTTCATCTAAAGTAACAGACAGAGAATCAGCACTTTGGAAACAGGGCTGTAACAGAGGGGATTATGGGTAATGCTGCAATGATCTGTTTGGTGTTTCAGCCAATCAGAGACAGGTTCTGTATATATCTGAGACCTGTAATATATTGATGAAAAACAGTATAATAAGGGACCTTTAAGTACAACTGAGTAAATGGTGTACTTTTACTCCACTACATGTATTTAATACCGTTTTGTTGCTGAGTTACATTTTGCAATCATCATTTTGCAACCCTGTGTTTGATTAGATTAATTCATTTTTTTCTTTCTCTCTTGTTTTCTCTTTTATTAGGACAATTCTGGAGAACTGGATCTGCTGAGGAAGGAGCTGCCATCCACACAGGACCCCCCGTGGTGCTGGAGAAATCTAAACAGCATCAGAGACATCATCCTCCCAAACCTCTGCTTCCTGCCGTCCAGCTGAACAGCAGCTCAGGAAGCTTCAGAGAGAAACAGTGTGTTTAACAGAGACTGAAGCACACGGAAAACAGTGTGTTTTAACAGAGACTGAAGCCACACGGAGAGACGGTGTGTTTAACAGAGACTGAAGCACACGGAGAAACGGTGTGTTTAACAGAGACTGAAGCTCACGGAGAAACGGTAGTGTTTTAACAGAGACTGAAGCACAAACGGAGAAACGGTGTGTTTAACAGAGACGAAGCACACGGAGAAACAGTGTGTTTAACAGAGACGAAGCACACGGAGAAACGGTGTGTTTTACAGAGACTGAAGCTCACGGAGAAACGGTGTGTTTAACAGAGACTGAAGCACACGGAGAAAACGGTGTGTTTAACAGAGACTGAAGCACACGGAAAAACGGTTGTGTTTAACAGAGACTGAAGCTCACGGAGAAACGGTGTGTCTAACAGAGACTGGAAGCACACGGAGAAACGGTGTGTTTAACAGAGACTGAAGCACACGGAGAAACGGTGTGTTTAACAGAGACTGAAGCACACGGAGAAACGGTGTGTCTAACAGAGACTGAAGCACACGGAGAAACGGTGTGTTTAACAGAGACTGAAGCACACGGAGAAACGGTGTGTCTAACAGAGACTGAAGCACACGGAGAGAAACGGTGTGTTTAACAGAGACTGAAGCACACGGAGAAACGGTGTGTTTAACAGAGACTGAAGCACACGGAGAAACGGTGTGTTTAACAGAGACTGAAGCACACGGAGAAACGGTGTGTCTAACAGAGACTGAAGCTCACGGAGAAACGGTGTGTCTAACAGAGACTGAAGCACACGGAGAGAAACGGTGTGTTTAACAGAGACTGAAGCACACGGAGAAACGGTGTGTTTAACAGAGACTGAAGCACACGGAGAAACGGTGTGTTTAACAGAGACTGAAGCACACGGAGAAACGGTGTGTTTAACAGAGACTGAAGCACACGGAGAAAGAGTGTGTTTAACAGAGACTGAAGCACACGGAGAAACGGTGTGTTTAACAGAGACTGAAGCACACGGAGAAACGGTGTGTCTAACAGAGACTGAAGCTCACGGAGAAACGGTGTGTCTAACAGAGACTGAAGCACACGGAGAGAAACGGTGTGTTTTAACAGAGACTGAAGCACAACGGAGAAACGGTGTGTTTAACAGAGACTGAAGCACACGGAGAAACGGTGTGTTTAACAGAGACTGAAGCACACGGAGAAACGGTGTGTTTAAACAGAGACTGAAGCACACGGAGAAACGGTGTGTCTAACAGAGACTGAAGCACACGGAGAAAGAGTGTGTTTAACAGAGACTGAAGCACACGGAGAAACAGTGTGTCTAACAGGAAGTGGTGATTTAGTAAACATGAGTGTTGTGCTGCTCTCGTTGGTGAAGCAGCGACTCACTGCGGCTGCTGAAGACATCTTTATTCTGTTTGAAAGAACGATAGCAGAGTACGAGGAGGAACTGTCTCGTTCAAAACAGGAGAACGAGAGACACCGGAAACTACTGGACGCTGTTTTACAGCCTCAGCTTCAGATCCACAGAGCAGGTCTGTTCCCTCTTTATTCACTCTCTCTTTCTAGTGAGCACTCTTCAGAAAGTTGTAGGGATAGACCTGTTGGATGAAAATAAATGCTATCGTCTCAGGAAGCATGTAACTGCTATGAAAAAAGGTTTGAAAGAAAGCAAAAGAGCGAAGAAACTGAAAATGTCTAAATAATGTCAACATGATCATGCAACACTGGGTGTCTCCTCTCTGCTGTGTTTACCTGTCTGTTCTTTCTCTCTGTCTTCTTCCTCTGATGCAGGCTTTGACCTGTTTAGCCCTGAGCCTGTTTTTCAGGTCTCAGGCTCGAAAATGACATTCCCAGAACAAATGACTATATCTTCCCTTCTAAAAGGGTGAAATTAATAATCTTTATTCTCAAAGTAATGATAAACCTGTGAGTTGGATGTAGAAAAGTCAGAATCAATATAGATTTTTTTTATTTTAATGTAAATTCTGATTGAACATAGTAAAAAACTGTAAATTATAGTGTCCGTCCAAAATCTTTTTTTACTTATAGTGAAAACTACCCTTGAATGATGGGTTAGTAGACTAAAAGCTTTAGGAATCCGAACTATAACATATAATAAGTACCCTGTATCAAGATTGATGCAAAACAAGTTAAATTTGACCTTTTTAGAGAGATTTAGAAGAAGAAAAAAACACTTCTGGTTAGGGCTGCTCGATTATGGCAAAAATCATAATCTCGATTATTTGGGTCAATAATTGATATCACGATTATTAAATGCGATTATTCATTGACTTTGAAAACATCCATTTATTGTGCTTTAAAACAAATACAAATAATAATTTGAACTTTTTAACTGTTGAATTATACGTTCAGGGTAATCAACTGAAAAACCAATACAAAATAAAATAAATTATACATTTAAATAAATAATATCAAAACATGTTGCAGTGCACTGTCACAACCTGAAAACTCCTTAACATATAGCCAACATTTTGGTAAAACATATTCAACATATTCCACTCAGTTAAACATTAAAGGCTGGCCCACCGTCATGGTCCAGAAGTAACAGGAAATAAATGTTGAACTACAATTTAAGACCGAATAAAAATGTTTTGGCCACTATGGCAAATTCTGGTAGGGCTGCTCATGTCATCTCTTAAAGGTTTTTTGCTAGAAACACCAGCCTGTTTACATGGTCTGGAGATGAGCGCAGGCAGGTGACAATACAGCCACCTGTACTGAAGACTAGGGCTGCTCGATTATGGCAAAAATCATAATCTCCATTATTTGGGTCAATAATTCATATCACAATTATTAAAAACGATTATCTATTTACTTTGAAAACATCAATTTATTGGAGAAAAAACAGTATGTTTTTAACAGTTGATTACCCTGAACTTTAAAGGGGACCTATCATGCAAAATGCACTTTTGTACGTCTTTTATACATGAATATGTGTCCCCGGTGTTCCAGGGAACTCACCAAGTGTCAGAAAACACAACCCTCTCTATTTTCCTCCATACCCAAATCTCTAAAAAAGGGGCTGCAACGTATCTGATAAAAACTGATCCAGATTTGAACACTGTCCTGACGTCAGGACGGTGGCGCTACGGCTATTGGGCCAACTCCACCAATCAGGAGGAGACAGCCACGGCCATTGCCGTTCGAAAGCGCTGGAGACGCTGTAGTACATATGCCAGGCCAGTAGATGGTGCTGTTCTCACTGAATCAGCCCTTGCAAAAACAGTGCAAATTGAGCGAAATGAGGCATGGCTAAAATGCATGATCTGTTTGGTATTTTGAAAAAAAAAAAAGTATAAATATGCCTTTGTATAGGTATGGTCCTACACTATATTATTCAAATATAGCATGATAATAATAAAAAAATAATCGTTTTATTTCGATTACGTTGTTTTTGTAATCGTTGCAAGCCGTAATCGCGATTAAAATACGATTAATTGAGCAGCCCTACTTCTGGTGTCATTTGGGTGCATTTTCCATATCTCTGGCCCCCCTCGTTCGATTTTGATGGTTGACACCTCTTTTTAACCGTCAGAGCCAATAGAATCGAGGGGAAGTTCCTAAAATCCATCTAAACATTACCCATTGGTGAATGAGTGCTGCGCAGCCAGAATGCACCCAATCAGGGCCCTGCACATGTATCTGTGTTTCAGTTATTAAAAGACAAGCTAGACCCTAGTGTACAGGGGGAGTGTGTTATACTGGGGGGGGGGGGGACTGGAACGTTTGCACTAATGTCACTTTAGACAGAGTAGGACGGGAGCCTCATCCTCAAGGCCGCTACACACCAACACCAAAGAACGCGTACCGAAGGCGTCCCGACTTTTACGTCTGCTACGCCGCCCGCCTACGCCGCCCGCCTACGCCGCCCGCCTACGCCGTATAAACAAACAACAAATAGCGTCTGGGTTCCATTTTCACTCTCTCGTCGATCGAAAACATGTAAACATAAAAAAAAATAAACTCTTGCGTCCAGGTGAGATGAAAATGAAAAAGATTAACCGTCTGTGTGTGCCTTCTTAATCGTTTGTTTTGGTCCCTCACTTCCGCTTCGCTTCTCATGCACTGACTCGCTAAGCTGAACAGCCAATCAGAGGTGTGTGTGTGTGTGTGTGTGTGTGTGTGTGTGTGTGTGTGTGTGTGTGTGTGTGTGTGTGTGTGTGTGTGTGTGTGTGTGTGTGTGTGTGTGTGTGTGTGTGTGTGTGTGTGTGTGTGTGTGTGTGTGTGTGTGTGTGTGTGTGTGTGTGTGTTGTTCAGAAACTAGACAAAAGTTAAACCAGTACAAACCACAGACTGTCTGTGTCAAGGTCAATATGATGTCAGTGTCTTTATCCAGGGTCAGCGAGATATCCAGGAGCTACAGGACAGTTTAGCTTTGTATAGGAAGGCTGCTTCAGCCAAAGTTAATTGGGAGAAGAGTGAGGCAGTTTTGGTAGGTCAGTGGAGTCTAGAAAATAGGCCCAGTCTTCCTGGTAACCTTAGCTGGGGAAACAAGGGTTTAAAGTTCCTGGGAGTTTGGTTGGGGTCTGAGGACATGGTGGCACAGAACTGGGAGGGATTGCTGGGAAAGGTGCAAGCAAAATTAGCTAAATGGAAATTGCTGCTACCCCAGCTGTCCTACAGGGGAAGAGTTCTTGTAGCTAACAATCTGGTTGCCTCATCTCTGTGGCACAGACTCCAGGTGTTAACCCCACCGCCGGGCCTCATGAAACAACTGCAGCGGCTCCTCTTGGATTTCTTCTGGTCGGGTCATCACTGGGTGCCAGCATCGGTCCTGAGGGGGGGGCAGGGCCTTGTGGACATTACTGCGAGGACTGCTGCTTTTAGACTGCAGGCAGCTCAGCGACTGCTGTATGGTGCCTCTCCCTGCTGGCTGGCTATGGCCCGGCTGTTGCTCTGGAGGGCAGGGGGCTTTGGTTTGGATAAACACCTCTTTCTGCTGAAGGCCCCTGCGTACAAGATAACTGGACTTGCACCTTTTTATTGCTCAGTCATCAATGCCTGGAAGATTCTGAGTTTTACCAGACCACCGGCCTGGGATGGGGCTGTTTCAGGAGCCACTGTTTGACACTGGTTTTCTTTCTGGAACCCTTTTCTCTTCGGCCACCCTAAAAAATGCGTTCATTGAAGCGGGAGTGGTAAAACTTGGCCATTTGACAGGAATCTCCACAGAAAAACTGGCTGAGGTGACGGGCATTCGATCAACCCGAGTTCTGGAAAACTTGGTAGATGAGGTGTGGCAGTCGCTGTCGCCATCCCACCGGACTTTTGCTCTCAATGCAGATCTGGCTGACCAGTGGAGAAAGGGACATGAGTATGTCTTTCCTGCCTTGAGTGTGGGTCCTGCGGTGGGGGAATGGAGAGAGGAGGATGGTCTCCTGCTATCACTGGGGACTCTAACACCTGGAAAGTTCAGCTCCTGCAATGGAAAGCAGCTATATCGTAGCTGCGTAAAGGTGCTAACCCTCAGCTCTCTCGCAGGCGTCAGAGAGTCGAGGTGGACAGATGTGTTTGGTTTGGGCTTTTCCCCTCAGGGCAGCTGGCGGATCCTGTATAAAGCTCCGGTTGAGAAACGGATGGCTGATATCCAATGGAGAATCATACATGGAGCAATAGCCACTAATAAATACAGAGCTCATTTTGACCCAGGCACTGTCCGTTCTGTTTTATGGCAGAAACATTGGAACATTTAGTGGTGTCCTGTCCCCGGTTGGCTGGTCTAAAACATTTTTTACAGGAGTGGGTGGAAGGGTTGGGGGAGGTTTTCTCCATACCACTTTTTGTCCATGGCCCCAAATACTCCCTGAAAAATAAGGAAACTCTAGTACTGATACATTTCTTGTTTGCTTATGCAAAATGAGCAATCTGGAAAAGTCTGAAAAACCAACTTGCTGGAGTGGGATGAAAACTGCATGCGCGAAGCCCCCACCTTTTTTTTTTACCGTGTGTGTGTGGGGAATTTCCCCTTTGATTCTATTGGCTCTAACGGTCAGAAAGAGATTTCATTCGTCAAAATCGACAAAGGGGGGCCAGAGATATGGAAAATCCACCCAAATGACCCCAGAAGTGGTTTCTTTGGCTAAATCTCTCTAAAAAGGTCACATTTCACTTGTTTTGCATCAATCTTGATACAGGGTACTTATTATATGTTGTGCTTTGGATTCCTAAAGCTTTTAGTCTACTAACCCATCATCCAAGGGTAGTTTTCACTATAAGTAAAAAAGAATTTTTGGACGGACACTATAATTTACAGTTTTTTTACTATGTTCAATCTGAATTATCTTTAAAATAAAAAACATCTATATTGATTCTGACTTTTCTACATCCAACTCACAGGTTGATCATTGCTTTGAGAAAAAAGATTATTAATTTAACCCTTTTAGAAGGGAAGATATGATCATTTGTTCTGGGAATGTCATTTTCGAGCCTGAGACCTGAAAAACAGGCTCAGGGCTAAACAGGTTAAAGGCAGAGAGTGAAATTCAGTGAATACACGTACTATACAGAGATGCTGTTTGAGAAACCAATGTGAGTTTGGAGAGATGCTGTATGAGAAACCAATGTGAGTTTGGAAAATTGCACAATATAAATCTATTCTAGTATACCTCAACAATGGAATTATGATCAGTGGAAATGGCCATGACATGGGCCCTTTACATTTTGAGAAAAGAGTCAGAATAGTGATAATTCTGAGATTTTCAGAAACAAATCTGAATTCTTGTATTTAAATATAAATCCGAATTTTGGTCATTTCTGAAGAAAAGTCAGAATTCTGAGATTTTCCTCCCAAAAAACTGAAAAATAGTACTGATTAGAGATTATTAGGAAAACTATTTTCCAAAATGTTGAAATAAATATCTGAATTTTTAAGATACAAATTCAAAATTTAGAGATTTTCCTAAAAAGTCAGGATTTTCTAAAAGATTCTGAACTTTAAGAAAAATGTAGGATTTTTGAAAGAATCAGAATTCTGAGATTTTTTTTTAAATATATTTGAATTTAAATCAACAGGGGATTGATTCATTGTTGTTTGACGAATGACAGGCAGAAAGCTTACACTGAAACTGGTTCTCAGTGTTTTATATTTACATGAAGCAACTACAGTCACTGACTTTTATCATTAGCCTCATTAGCTGTGATGAAGTGTTTCTCAAAGACATAAGATCAGATAAGACTTTATTGATCCCAAAACAAAACTAGAAATAAACAAGAATAGAAATAAAATAAAATAGAAAATATACATGTTGAATTTGACAAGATATTATATATACAAGTATTGACATGGAATATTAATATTAAATATTAAATATTGAACAGATTATATAAATGTAAAATGTACAACGTGGTTTTATTTCTAGAGAAACTATGGAGCAGAGAGTTCTCTTCCAGCCAGAGGTGATTTGTTGTACAGAGTTATTGCAGTGGGCAGGAATGTTTTCCAGTATCTGTCCTTGTGACAGGGGAGCTGCAGCAGTCTGTTGGAGAAGGAGCTCCGCTGACTGTCCAGCTGCAGGTGGAGAGGATGGGTGGTAGGGATGCATATCGTTGACTTTTTTACGATACCGATACCGATACCACTGAACGATACCGATACTCAACCGATACATATCGTGATACTTTCATGTTGCATAAGGGAAACATTTTATCATCCCGCAATTACTCCCATGAAGCGCTTTATTATATAGTTAACATGTCAAATGAATATTAAATTCAATTGTGGGACTTGGACCTTTTAGTACTGAACAAACAATGAAAAACACGTTATCTATGAAGAAAACTGATTCTGCAATATCATTTATAACAACCATCAGGCGGGAATAGCACATCTTGTCAATGGAAAAATAAAATAGCACCAGGATAATCAATATTCAACCTGAGATTCGACTGACCAGAGAACACATAAAGGATCATGAGATCTTGGCATTGCACATAAAACAAATAGCATCCTTAAAATCAACATTTGCCTGATGAAAGAAAACAAATCCCATCACAGTTCAGTTTTGTGCATTCATCTTCAAGAAGATGAGCATATCTGCTCTCTGGATCCAAACGGGCCCTTTCACAGCGTAGGATATCACCTGCTGAACTGAACACTCTCTCGCTTGGCACGCTGCTTCCCTGAACACAAAGGTACTTGGTTGCCATACGAGACAGCATTGGTTGGAGATTGGATGTGTTGCCACCTTTCCCAGAAATAAACTTCTTGCAGTGGTTACAGACCCCACCATTCAGACTGGCAGTGGTTACAGACCCCACCATTCAGACTGGCAGTGGTTACAGACCCCACCATTCAGACTGGCAGTGGTTACAGACCCCACCATTCAGACTGGCAGTGGTTACAGACCCCACCATTCAGACTGGCAGTGGTTACAGACCCCACCATTCAGACTGACAGTGGTTACAGACCCCACCATTCAGACTGGCAGTCATATGCAGCCCCACTTTAGATTTTCAAAAGTGACTTGGTTGCGGAGTTTCACTGCGAAATTGAAATCGTAATTCCGACGGTTTGGGCACAAGTTTAAGGATATTATGCCTCACTTTTATAAAAAATAAAAAAAGTATCGAAAACCGGATCTGATTTCGGTACGGTATACCGTAGCCACCAGTAACCGGTATTTCGGTAATACCGGGAACCGGTATGCACCCCTAATGGGTGGGGTTATCCATGATGGACAACAGCCTGTTTAGTGTCCTCCTCTCCACCACAGCTTCATACATGTATTGGATGACCGGGTTCCATTGGTCCAACTTCAACATTTTGAGAAAAAGAGCTGAATAACTAACTCACTCACCTGTTGTCCTGAAACTCTCCAGAGCATCTGGAAAAAAGGTGTAACGGCCCCTACACACGGCGGCGTGCGTTGCCGCTTCAACGTTTCTGCCCATTCACTTTGAATGGGGTGACGTCACGCTTCGCCGAACTGCATTGTGGGAGCAAAGCGTAGCTTTTCTCGCGGTGCTCGCTGCAAAAGTAGAGCAATGTTCTACTTTTGAAGCTTCGACGGAAGCGTCAGCCAATCGAATCATATGCCAGTACAAGCTCTAGCCAATCAAACCGCTGCTTGTGTGTCCAGGGCGGGAGATTCAGATGATTGGTTGTTGTCTAGCTTCAGACATGCCCGCCGGCAAGCGACAACGCACGCCACCGTGTGTAGGGGCCGTAATTGACAGACTATTGAGACAACAGAAAAACAAAGGGGGCGGGACTTAGCAAAATGATAGGCAAGCATTTAAGGAATGGATAAGGGCTGCAAAGTTAATGAATTGTTAATTGTGGTTATATTTTAAATACTCTACAGTTTCTCTGAATATGTGTTTCCTGTTTCCTGCAGACGTCCAGCAGCTGGTGGTGGTTAAAGAAGAGGTTCCCCCTGAGCAGCAGGAGTGGAGCTCCAGTCTGGACCAGGAGGACCCAGATCCCCCCCCACACATTAAAGAGGAGCAGGAGGAACTCTGGAGCAGTCAGGAGGGAGAGCAGCTTCAAGGGCTGGAGGAGGCTGATATCACCAAGTTCATATTCACTCCTGTCCCTGTGAAGAGTGAAGATGATGAAGAGAAACCTCAGTCCTCTCAGCTTCATCAAAGACAAACTGAACACCTGGAAACAGAAGCTGATGGAGAGGACTGTGGAGGACCAGAACCAGCCAGGAACTCAGATCCAGAGAGACATTTACAACCAGAGACTGAGGACAACCCTGGAGACTCTTCTGAACCTGACACTGAAGACAGTGCTGATTGGAAGGAGACCAGAGAACCAGATTCAAACTCTCAGAGAAATAAACAAGACTCTGTCAGTGATTCAAGACGTAGTGCAGGAGAGAAACCATTCATCTGCTCAGTCTGTAAGAAATCTTTTACACGGAGAGGAATTTTAAAGAAACACATGATAATCCACACAGGAGAGAAACCATTCAGCTGCTCAGTCTGTAAGAAATCTTTTACACAGAGAGGAAGTTTAAAGGAACACATGAGAATTCATACGGGAGAGAAACCATTCAGTTGCTCAGTTTGTGAGGAATCGTTTCAGCGGAGTGAAAGTTTAAAGAAACACATGAGAAACCACACAGGAGAGTAACCATTCCATTGCAGTGTTTGTGACAAAATAATATCCTGGGGTGATCAGGTCAAAAGCCATAAGTGTGTTGGTCGTCAGTCCTCACAGCTTCATCAAACTCAAACTGAGGAGAACAGAGAGGCAGAGCCTCTAACTCAGATCCAGAGAGTCCCTCTAAGTCAGTGATTCCCAACCTTTTTTCCCAAGAGCCCCCCCAAATGACTCCTGTTGGAAGTTGCGCCCCCCCCCCCCTTGTGTGTGTGGGGGGGGGGGGGGGGGGCGCAACAGCGGTAATTAAAGTTTAAAAGTCTCAAAATGCTACAACTCCTGTCACAAACTAGATGAATGTGAAGTATGTTGTTAAAGGAGTATGAAAGTGACTGATGGTTATTGGACTCAGGATTCATTCATTTGGATTCCCGCTGTATGAAGAAATTAAAGGACGGCGCAAGTGAAAACAATTCACAAAGGGATTAAACTGTTTAAAGGGCCCATGTCATGGCCATTTCCACTGATCATAATTACATTGTTGAGGTATACTAAAATAGATTTATACTGTGCAATTTTCCAAACTCACATTGGTTTCGCATACAGCATCTCTGTCAAGTATGTGTATTCAGCAGTATTCACTTTCTCCACTAAACGACTCGTTGGAGCTCTTGCCCCCCCCTCCCTGTGAGCCTAGTGTGCTTTTTTCGGCTCGCTCTCAGCAGAACATCAGTCTTATAATGGCGTCGGTACAGCCGTATATTTTATACGCTAACTAACCGAACTGTACCTACAACTGTTGTTATAGAAGAGTGTGACGGCCCCAGGGCCTTTGTCTTACGATGGGGTGGAGCTGAAGAGGCTAATCAGCGCGATCACGGACACCTCCGGAGCCGAGGTGCTATTAAGCCCAGCTGCCCGGAGTCACACGGCGGCCCCTCTCTCTCTCCAAAGCGGCTCAGCGATCCTCTCGACCACCTATCTCTGCATTTACCACAATAAATGTGCCGTGGTTTTGTAAACTCGTGTATGTCTCTTTGTCTTTCCGTTGTGGCCTACGAGCCGGTCATAACAAAGAGTAAGTTATTTTTACCCGTTATAAACTACTACTGTTTGATGAGAAATCAAATCATCGTTTGCTATATTTGAATGATATGTTATAGGAGCAAATAATTCAGGGAAGAAAGGCTACTAAGTATTTCCATTAAACTTTATTTTTAGAAATGTACAAAATTAACATAAATATACATATATACACGGTATATCATCCATTCCTCCCCGTTGTCGGCATCTTGCCTATAGCAGCCGGGGCTTTTTAGGACGAGGCCTCAGTAGTAGTAGTCCCGTCCCCGTCATGTATTGTCCGCCAGGATCTGGCTGGACGAAATCAAATGCAAATCACAAAATATTAGAGAAACTTAGTTGTTTTAGATTCGTTAGTAGTAGTTGTGGTAGGAGTGTGGATCTATCTAATCCATCTAATGAACAGCTTGCCTGCTAATATGCTAACCTAGCTTTCTTGTTTACTTTGGTAGCTAACACGATATGAACGCTAGCTCGGAGGAACGGCAACTATAATGTAGAGTAATAAAACTACTATGAACAAAAGCTAGTGGTTCATATTAGGCTAGCAATAACGTGTTTATAATTGCAATCGTATACGGGTATTCTGCTACGTTCGGTCATACATTGTAACTTGCATGAATACATTGTTTTGCGCTAGCATGTATAGCTAGCCTCGTTAGCTATACATGCAGTATGTACATGTACTGTCACAATGTACGGTAAATCACCCGGTGTGTGTGACTGCAGACATTCTCCTGCCATGACAAACATGTAAGGCCATCTGCTGACATTGTAGTTGATATATTTAAACGCTAGCAACGTAGCATAACACAAATGTTTTTCCGAGCAAACCCATGTCTAGCTCCGTTGGTTAGATCGGTAGCATACACGCTACGCCAGCTATAATGTAATTACGTTTCGCGACTGACCGTACGGCAAATCACCCGGAGTATACTGTCAATAGGTATTTTGTGTGTGAATGCAGACATTCTCCTGCTATGAGATACATGTATGCAAGGCCATCTGCTGATATTAGAGTTGATATATGGAAACGCTAGCAACTTAGTTAGCACAGTTAGCACTGTGTCAATGGCTTAGCAGTCCAACACAGTTTACACATTTAAACAGTCTTGTTTGATAAATACACAAATAACAATGCAAACTTACAGGTTGTATACCCAGATCTTCCCCTGCTCCAAACGGTCCAAACAAGCTGTGCATATCCGGCCTCAAACTGGGCAATGTTTTGGAAGCTTTCGTCTGTGAAATGCCGGTTCTTCGAACCTCTGGAGGAACAGTGTTAAAAAGAAATGTCAACCACTGACTTCGTCGTGGTTCTTCCGTCGGTAGGACAAACAGCTCAGATTTCTCCTCACATTTCAGGAAACAGGTCCTTGGCAGTGGCATGACTGGATCGATTGTGAACTGAACCAGAGCTTCCAACAGTAAATGTTAGGCTGGCAGAGGGTGCGGCCAGCGCCGCTGGGTGTGGCCATAGCTCTTCGGGATTGGTCCATTTCGTTCCGGGTACCGCATGACATCATGCCGTACCCGGAACTAAATGGAAGACTCAAATGGGCAGTGACGTATCTCCAACGAGGCGTTTTGGGGAGGTATTTTCTGTGTTAGAGTTTTACTCGCTACAGGGTGTACTTTGAGGGTTTTGACTCTGCACACCGTTTACATGCATAAAAACCTTCATAACACACAAGGGGACGGGTAATAACCGGAAAAGCATGACATGGGAGCTTTAAAACACATGCTCAAAGTAAGCCGGATTTTGGCGATGTGTTTATGTGGATTCAAAAGTCGTAAATAATCTACAAAATGGAGGAGACCGATCTGATCTGTGACAAATAATCTGAAACCGGCATGGACAATGACTATGTTTTAAAAATGCGCTTATCCAGAAAAGCCTGGTTTTGACACTTTACGGGCAGAAGAAACATTTCTATTAAAGAAAGAATTATAAATTTCTGTCTTTTTATGCCTACTAACTTGAATTGTTATTCAAATTAATTAATCAATTATTTTTTATATTTTATTGTAATGTAGAGACAAGGCTTTTAGCGACAATCATGTATTGCGTTACAATTCTATGTAAAAAAAAAGAAAGTCTAAATATGATATTTGGCCTCAAATCATCTGAGGCCTGGCGCCCCCCCTGCGATCTTTGTCGCCCCCCCCCAGGTTGGGAACCCCTGCTCTAAGTGATATGACATTTGACACATTTTTGCTATAAGTCAAGTCTGAATGTGCAAAAAAGAGCACAATGAATTAGTCCCATGACAATTCATGCATAAGAACAATCTGTCAACCTGTATAAACTCTGTTTGACAATATTCATATGAACTCCATCTTTATTAATATTCATGGACAATATATTTAATGTTTTTCTCATACTGATTTTTTGATATACTATAACTACTGATTGTTGATAAACCATTTTATTATAAGTATTGCGTTTTTGTTTTAATATAAGATATTTGTTTGAGCAATATTGATTGGTTGTTTTGGGTCACATGGATATGGGTGGCACTCATTATAATCCTGTTGAGGATTGCGTGAGGTGTGAGTGGAAGAGAGGGTGACACAGGGTCGTTATAGTGATATTCCAGCTAATCTTGGTTGTAGTTATTGTATTATGTCAGTAGTTGGTGTAACTTGATTATATATTTAATACATTTTGACTTGAATTGTCATGTTCAATCCAATCCAACTTTATTTATGAAGCACTTTAAAACCTCCAGACCAAAGTGCTGTACAGAGAGATACATAACATATCAAATCACACAGCTCAGCTCACAAAACCAACACAGTCTCACTCCCTGAGAGTCCAATAGCGACGCTTGGTCAGGACTAATCACGGGGTTTGTCAAGCAAAGCGCATGGTGTAGTCCTAAACAATAGCTGAGGATTCTGGGTAGTGTAGTGTCTTCTGCCATCCTAATCTCCGAAAAAATATTTGTTTATCCGAATCGAAGGGGAAAAACACAAAAGCATTGCACACAATTTAAACCAATCAATGTTGTGTAATTAACAAGGATAATCTGGTGTTTTTGAGTTGATGAGTAGTGCAGATATCACTGTCAAATCAATCGACAGTAAAGAGAATACTTACTCCCGGGTGTAAAATCCTCCGTTATCCAATGGGAATAGACGCTCACATTGCCTTTAACAGCCGCCGACATGGACCGATGCGGACAGTTAGCAGCCTCAGAAACCACAAATTAAAGCTCCTCAGATTAGAGCCCACATAAATGATCACAGAGCTCAAGCAGCAGACACGTTAGATGTATCGAAGTTAGATTCCTTTTCAATATGTACTCCAAATGGGTCAACTTGAAAATGCTGTATGTACCCAGGCATCCTGCGATCATTTGAGTCACATTCCTTAATGATCATTTGAGTGAGGTACATCTCCATGAAAACATCCTCATGGATTCTTTCACCTCTTCTTACTTCTGAACGTATCACTTTGAGAACATTTGTGTTCAGACTGCGGGTTATGTTTCCTGAAATCAGTTCAGCAACAGGTGTTTTTTAAAGTTTACTGTAAAATACTTGACTCACTCCTTTATGTATGGCTCTTGCAACTCTGCCTCTTCTTCTGTTTGCTGCTGCTCTGAATTGTTTCATTCTTGTCTGTGTCCTCATCTGTTACCTTATTCTGAATCATGCTCAGAGGCAAGTCCTTTGTCAGACAGTCTTCAGAACATGCCCATCTCTCTCATTTTGTTTTTCCTCCATTACCTGAACTTCCTTCTGCTCTAATGATTTAAAGTGGACCTATCATGCTATATTTTAATAATATAGTGTAGGACAGGGGTGTCAAACTCAATTTCATCACGGGCCACATTAGCATTATGGTTGCACTCAAAGGGCCGGTTGTAACTTTAAGACTATATAAAAATACATATATAAATATTTAATATATAAAATAATGTATTATATTACATTATTGCCTCTGCATTGGGTTATTATCGGATAGGGCAATAACTTCATAATTAACTACGTCTGAAAGCAGAAGTCTAGGGCAAGTAATTGCAAGTCTCAAAATGATTTTAAAAGAAAAGCCACATTCTGGAAAAACAAAAGAAAATAAGTAAAAAATGCATATTTTGAAGAAAAAAATTCAAATTCTGTGAACAAATTCAAATTTGAGATGCATTGTGGGACATGTAGTTTATGGGCAACGTGCTTCTGTAAAGTAGCATGTAACCATATAATAAACATATTATATTCTTTGCAAGCTCTTATGGGGCCACATAAAATGAAGTCGCGGGCCGGATTTGGCCCCCGGGCCTTGAGTTTGACGCCCCTGGTGTAGGACCATACCTATATAAGGCATATTTATACTTTTTTTTTTTTCAAAATACCAAACAGATCATGCATTTTAGCCATGCCTCATTTCGTCAATTTGACAATTTCTAGCTCTGGGCAGATTATGTGAGAACAGCACCACCTACAGGCCTGGCATATGTACTACAGCGTCTCCAGCGCTTTCGAACGGCAATGGCCGTGGCTGTCTCCTCCTGATTGGTGGAGTTGGCCCAATAGCCGTAGCGCCACCGTCCTGACGTCAGGACAGTGTTCAAATCTGGATCAGTTTTTATCAGATCCGTTGCAGCCCCTTTTTTAGAGATTTGGGTATGGAGGAAAATAGAGAGGGTTGTGTTTTCTGACACTTGGTGAGTTCCCTGGAACACCGGGGACACATATTCATGTATAAAAGACGTACAAAAGTGCATTTTGCATGATAGGTCCCCTTTAAGTTAGATTCCTTTTCAATTCCATATGTGTTATTTGATAGTTTTGATGTCTTAAGTATAAATCTACAATTTATAAACAATTTAAATAAATAAAAAACTTCGAATGAGAAGGTGTGTCCAAACTTTTGACTGATAGTGTATAAATACGGGTAACATACCTGTAGTTAGTTCATCTGAAAAAAGCTCAAATACTATAATGACATTAATCCATCTATTATTATTATTATTATTATTATTATTATTATTATTATCATAACCTTAACCTGTTAAGCCTGAGAGACCCCGGTACCGAGGCACTGCCGCAACCAACACATCCTCACTCCCAGGTCGGCGTATGTTGACGTTATGTCAAGGTCCCCTGTGGTCTTTTTCCAACGCAAGGGGGGCGGCCCTTAGCGTACATTTTCAACTTTCCGGGATGTCCATAGGCTTCTTGAGATCGCGAGCGAATGCTTCCCGCCGCGGGCCATTCTCTGCTGAAGCATACGTTGCTGCATTGCATTAAAAACATTATGCTCTCTATATATTGTCTTTATTATGCTTTAAACAGTGTCTCAGGCTTTGGCTATAGGGCGGCTCAAAGTATTTTGTCCGGCCGTTGTGAAGACTGCTTTGTTTATTGTCCTTGTTTTTGTTTTAACCTGTTACGCGCCGCCCCCCCCGGTACCGGGCGGATAAACGCGTCATTTGCAGGAAACAACGTCTAAGGAATCTTAATATTTGATAAACTATGAATGTTTTATATCCATGTAACGGGAAGAAACTCATCTAACTGATCTTTTAAAAAAAAAAAAAAACACAATGCTAACACTCAGCCTCTGAATTACCCACGAGCGAAAAAATGTAACCTAAAACGGCACTTAAACTCACAATAACTCCCTTATTACTTATCCTAGATGCACAGCCAACCCCTCGATTTGCATCACCTGGAGACACTGAATCTAGTGGTGCCCTCCTCAACACTCAGTGATAAACATTTGCGACGCTATAAACGAAAGCGTACATCATAACATGTGGAGCTAGGTAGCTAGAAACGCTAACATGGCTTACCTTGGTCAAAACTGGTCTTCAATGGCATTAAAACGATAAAAAAACGATGCTGCAGTTAATCCATAGGTTAATCCAATGTGTCTTTGTCCTCTTTGAAATGATTTCTGATAATCCATAAGCAATAAAACTGCTTTTTCGTTTCCAAATGTCAGAGCGAGAGATCGGTCCACTCTGCTGCAAAATTACATGCGCGAAGCCCCCACCGTTTGTTTTCACAACGAGTGTGTGTGGGGGCCTCCCCCTTCGATTCTATTGGCTCTAACGGTCAGAAAGAGGTGTCAACCATCAAAATCGACCAAGGGGGGCCAGAGATATGGAAAAAAAAACATTTGGTTTGTGGGGTGGCTTTGGCTAAACCTCTCTAAAAAGGTCAAATGTCACTTCTTTTGCATCAATCTTGATACAGGGTACTAATTATATGTTGTACTTTGGATTCCTAAAGCTTTTAGTCTACTAACCCATCATCCAAGGGTAGTTTTCACTATTTGTAAAATATTATTTTTGGACGGACACTATAATTTACAGTTTTTTACTATGTAAAATCTGAATTTTCTTTAAAATAAAAAACATCTATATTGATTCTGACGCTTCTACATCCAACTCACAGATGTAACCTTGCTTTGATCAAAGAAATTATTCATATAACCCTTTTAGAAGTTAAGTTGTAGTCATTTGTTTTGGGCATGTCATTTTCGAGCCTGAAACATGAAAAACAGGCTTGGTGCTTAACAGGTTAAATAAAGCATATTCAATCGAGACATGCCAAACATGTGACGTCATATGACGCGTCGCATCTGCGCACAGGGAGCAGGGAGACCCCGAGATCCGTATTCCCCGTATTTTTTAAATAAAGAGATTTTCAATCACGGGCGCGCATCAAACGTGTGACGTAACGTGGTATTAAAAGTATTAAAAGAGGTGAAAATTACTACAAGTCTGGGCATGTTGAGAGCTGTAGATACACACAAGGGGAGTATTTTTCATAGTCCGTCCCCTCACTGTGTATCGCTCACTGATTGGACGATGCAGCGCATGCACTGATCTGATGCTTCTTGACATGAGAGCAGTTTCCTAGCGGAGTGAAGAAAACACATGAAACTCACGGGACTCACTCTTCAGTTCATACTGTGTTTTGTTTCAATGAATGCATCATTCAGTTACAAATATGTGATATATCTGAACAACAAAGTGGACAAAAATCATTTTATTCATTTATTGGAAACATTTTCATGATCGCTTTTTCGTTTTACATTTTCAATTATTGTCATTTCCATTCAGTCAGTCATTAAGTGCTATTTAACATGTTAATGTGCTACATACAAGGGTGTAACTTTGGTTTGAGAAGTGGGGGGGACACAAAACAGGGGGTCCTCCGCAATGAAATATTTTCTCAATTTAATTCCATTTCCTGCCTTTCTACAAATATATTAGGGACTATAGTGTTAACAAATCCAAGAAAAATGTGTAGTGTATATAATGAGTGTGCACACTTATCTAGTATCCTATCCATGTGAACCTGTTTTATTTGTGATTACCTGACATCCTCTAGGGGGGTCCGGGGGCATGCACCCCGGGAAGATTTGTTTCTTTAAATTGAAGTTGAATGCATCAATCTGGTGCACTTTGAGGGCAACATTAAGAGATGTATGGATACAGTTCTCAACACTCATATGAAACAGAACTGTATATATTTCAATAATCAAAAAGCCATTAGAATATGCTCACAACCAATAACAAATCATTGATAAACTCCTCTCTCCTATCTTTATCTTACCTAGTCTGCATTTTTTCTTTTTATTTATGCATATTTGACTAATCACTCCCCTTTCAAACTGTGTTTTTTATTTTTGTACTGACCTATAGTACACATTGGAAGGATTTCTTAACTTATTTTATATACAACTATATATTACATAGATGGAAATATTTGTTTACATAGATGACCAAACCGCTTGAGACCCACTGAGATAACTCGACTAAAGTTTACAACCTAATCACTCAGAGAGTCCTTTACCTCCCTGAGCTGACGTTATCTCTCTCAGTCCGACAGGAGAGGACTCTTCATTTAATTTAATTTCAAACCTTTATTTATCCAGGTTGTATCCCATTGAGATCATTGACCTCTTTTTCAAGGGAGACCTGCTCAAGTAGGTTCCACATGAAACATTAAAAACATAAACAGAACAACAAAAGGACATCATACAGTAGCATTACAGGGATTACAATTTACATACTATCCACATGCACAGGTACCAACAGCTTCCGATTGAGTAGCATCCAACCGAGCTTTAAAAACATTGAGTGGCACCAGATTGCTCAGTTTCCATTTTAATTGCAGACTATTCCAAGACAGTGGAGCTGCGCATCTAAAAGCTATCTTCCCTAAGACAGTCCTAGCAGTTGGCACATTTAATAAAACCACAGCATGCGATCTCAGGCAGTAGCCACTTACAATTCGCCGTGAGATCAGGGAGCAGATGTAGGATGGAAGTTTCCCTAACATGGCTTTATATATAAAAATGTACCAGTGACTGAGCCTCCGTGCAGTAAGTGAAGGCAGACCAGCCCTTGCATACAGGGTACAGTGATGGGTTAATGCTTTACAGTTTGTCACAAATCTCAGTGCACTGTGATACGCAGCATCTAACTTGACCAGGCAATTGGCAGGTGCATTCATATAAATCAGATCACCATAGTCCAGCACAGGTCAAAAGGTCACAGAGCCTTTTTCTGGCCTCGAGCGAGAAACAGGACTTGTTCCTGTAGAAGAAACCTAGCCTAACCCTCAGTTTGTTAAGCAGGTTATTGACATGACATTTAAAAGTGAGACAATCATCAAGCCAGATACCAAGGTATTTGTAACAGGCAA